GAGTGTCCCACAAGAGTGTCCCACAAGAGTGTCCCACAAGAGTGTCCTGCAAGAGTGTCCCACAAGAGTGTCCTGCAAGAGTGTCCCACAAGAGTTTCCTACAAGAGTGACCCACAAGAGTGTCCTACAAGAGTGTCATTTGGACATATGTAGCTTTTCGAACGTGTTTGCATTCGGGTTCGTGGGCTCCATCATCTTGTTTTTTCCTGTGCAGAAACCTCCCCCTATTAATCAATCCCAGCTGCCCCCCCCAAAAAATATTGTTTACTATTTATTTATAGTTTTTTTGCATTACATTCTTTTGGCTAGTCTCCAATCTCTTTTATATATGTTTCTTTGTATTTTTCTTTTTTTGGTAGTATTCAATATCTGCATCTCCTCATCTTCCTGATTCTCGCCACCACCTCTCAACTGCCTCATCCTGCTCACCAATCCTTTTGATGGCTTCTCCTCAGGTCTCATGCTACCAACCATGCACCAAAACCCCAAAAACGCTCTAGCAAAAGCCTTTTATTTTCCCTTATTCAAACTCTATCAAAATCTTAACTTTTTCAAGCTCACAAAGGGTGCCCCTCACAAAGGCCCTACCCCCCAAGAGTGTCCCACAAGAGTGTCCCATACCCACAAGAGTGTCCTACAAGAGTGTCCCACAAGAGTGTCCCGTAAGAGTGTCCTACAAGAGCGCCGTAAGAGTGACCCACAAGAGATTCCTAAGAGTGCCCCAAAAGAGTGCTCCGCAAGAGTTTCCTACAAGGGTGACCCACAAGAGTGTCCTACAAGAGTGTCCCACAAGAGTGTCCTACAAGAGTGTCCCACAAGAGTTTCCTACAAGAGTGACCCAGAAGAGTGTCACACAAGAGTGTCCTACAAGAGTGTCGTTTGGACATATGTAGCTCTTCGAACGTGTTTGCAGTCGGGTTCGTGGGCTCCATCTTGTTTCTATGAACACGGGATATCGTAACGAGGCCAGTGCCGGGCCATACATCCTTGGCATGCCGCCCTTTCCCTGAGAGCACTCAAAGTGACCAACTTGAGGACCTCTCTCTGATCCTCTCCGTTGCAAACTATGTAAACCACTCTAGCCACTGGCCTTCATGGGTGAAAGCCTATGGCGGAGTTGCCAACTGTTGAGAACTGCTGTTGAATGATGCTGATGACTCTGAAGAAACTTGTCTAAGCCATGCTAAGTCTCTCAATGTTCTTGAGCATCTAGGTTGAGAAGGCCTTTGTCGCCAATGATTGATAAGAGCCAATTCACTGCTCTCTTCCAACAATGTCATGCAACACCTACAGCTACGTTGCCAACCACTTTGTGCTTCATTTGCATTTTGTGAGCTGCTTGTCGCGAAAATTGCGTAGCAACAAAAAGACGCCTTATGTATCCTTATGTTCGTTTATGTCTTTTCCCGAACTATTTGACCTTTAGAAACCATGAGAAATGATTAACCCACGTACCAATAGAGGACACACGACTCGCAATTCCCTTTGCTCCGCTGCAATCTCGCTCATTGGCACAGCAGCTTGTGAAATCTGGGCATTCGTGCCGAGCTCTTCAGACATCTTCAGACAGTATTTCCGCGAAAAACCTCCTCTGAAGCTTTAGACAAGGAACAGCTTGTTTATAAACTTATGATGACCTGCGCATAACAAGGTTCAGCCAAAAGAAAAAACAGAAGTCTTGAACGCCGCTCGGCACCATGCAATCTTCAAGTACAGACAGCAGGCAATCGAACCACAGCGCTCTGAAATGTGGATCTGCGATTCATGAGCACAAGCTCGGGCTCACCCGATGAAAAAAAACCGATGAACTACGTAATTTTTCATTCTTCCGGTATTCAGGTGCCGAATTGTCACTTCCGATTGGCTCAAAAGCCTCTTGTGGCCGTCCTGACTCAATATTGGCATGCCTTCGACCTGCGCAAATTGCAAAGCAACTTTTGCAGCTTTGGCATCAAAAGCATTTTGGAGCCCAAGTCAAGCCGATGTGAGCCTGCACCACCCGGATGTTCATCGGACGTAGTTGTTCCAAGGGTGGATGTAGTTGTGCCAAGGGTCGAAAAAATCTCCCAACCTCTCCCACCTCAGCGACAACTTGATACATCACCGAACACGCTAGACGAGTCCAAGCTTGGGTATCTCACGGACTCTGAAAGCATGTGCCAGCTCCCAACAAGCCTGGACGAAACGGTGTCGAAAGTCGCGAGACCAAACCTTACGTAGATAGAAAACCAAAACAATGCTAACACAGTGCCTTCCTAACACGCTTGCGCAGTGGGCGCCTTGTGTGTAGGTGACATCCTCAGCATCCGGTGAAGTCCGTGAAACGTCTCTTCTCCTTCGCTTCTGTTTTCGCTTCCCAACAAACCAACCGTAACATGTACTAACCAACCAACTTCTCGTTACTAACCCCGGTCGAAGTTTGGAGCTGCAAACGTCAGCAATCACTAAGCTCCAAACAGAAATCTCTGAAGCTGCTTTTCTGTCGGATTACAGTATCTGTTCATATTGTGTTCCTTCTGGCGGTCAATTTTGACGGTGAGGAACGTGTGCTTATTCGGACTGAGTTCGTTTAACCAACGCTATCATTCTATCAGGGCCACTAAGGACAAAAAGTACATTTTGACAAGGGCTCGGCAAAAGTTACTTTTTTCCCCTCCAAGCGTGCATTGCGGACGGTGCCGTGCATTGCCCCGAGAGGCTTGGCAAAAGCGACGTTTCTTTCTTCAGCGGAGCAACTGGGCACGTCGACCCGGAGGAGTCCGCGACCGAGCAGGTGACACATCTGCAAAAAACGAGTACGTGCACCTAGCAAACGTCGTGACAGTATGTGTGCACAAACAAAAAAGAATTAGAGGTCCGACGAACGTTTGCAGGGTAAGGACGCGAAGCGCAAAACACAAGAAACCACAGCAACTACCTAGCCCTTCCTAGTCCAACGAGCCTCTATCCACGTGGTAACAGTTGTTGAAACGAAGTCGGAAAGAGGATCACATGGCTGAGCAGAAAGGTCCAAGGCGGAGTCCAAAACCGGATCGATTGCACACAGGGTGGCCCTCGAAAGCGGACAAGTAGCGACTCAAGCGCAACAGACCGAGACACAAGGAAAGACGAAGTTCACTAGTGACTAGTGCACCCCGTGTCTGCTGTGCAATATCAAATGGGTGCGTGCAGGCGTGTGCCGCATTCCTTAAGGTGCTGGCGCCGCTGCGTGCGTGTTGGAGCTTGTGTGCTGGTGCCGCTGCAGGGTGCCACTGCCAAATGTGTGGCCGTGTGGGTGAAGAACTATGGTGGCGCTGCTGCTGGGCAGCTGCTGCGGTTACAAAAGAAGGATGACTTGCGCGTTGGGTGCGTGCGGTTCGCAATGAGGACGAAGCCAAAGCCTGCACATTTCTCCACCAGGCCTTTTAAATACCGGAGCAAGGCAAATACTGATCAAAGGTAAAAAGCAATGCCTTATTTTAGAAGGCAACATGCAGAAGCCAATGCTGTGCTGTTGAAGATCTTTGAGCACTGTAAATAGTGATATGCTTGCAAGGCACAATGCACAAAACTGCGCTATGAAGGTGCCCTTCCAAACACATTGTGAAGTAAGAGCATAGGAAAAGGTGCCTGTGTGCGCTCTGAAGCTTGGGTGCTGGTACCGCTGCAAGATGTGTGGCCGTGTGCGCTTTGGAGCTTGGGTGCTGGCGCTGGCGCTGCAAAGTGCCGTTGCAGGGTGCTGCCCACAAAAAACTATTTGCTATCTGACTGGGGTACATGCTGGCATAAATTTGCCTATTCACAATGTGGCAACAACAGGTGTCGGAAAACACGAAAAGACTGCGAATTACGGTGTTTCTGGAAGGCACGTGTCTAAAGAATGCATCCGAAGACTGTCTCCCCCACCTATATGTTTGCTTCAAGAACTCACATAGCTGATTCAACTTTTCGTTTTGGATCATGTTGCTTAGAAGTCTTAAACAAAGTGTAAGAAAAGATGGTTTGCAAAGGAAACTGCGGAAACTCCAGCATGACCAAAGCCAACTTGTTACTGAGGCAGGCACTGAAACGCAGTGGGAATACATTGGGCATCGCCCGACGTTGATGTTGCTGTAGGTCGTCAGCGCCTGAAAAGACACTAACCATGCTTAAATCATGTCGCTCCGTAAGCCTTGTAGACCCTTGTAGCCCCAAGCTGCGCTAAAGTCTGAAACGAATAATGATTTCTAGGAATGCACCAAACAACCCGAAGGTAGTTGTGTGTTTGTCTTTCGCTTGTTTGGGGTATGAGAACGCAACAAGACGATGATTCAAAGGTGTGTTTCCGGGCGACTGGTGCAAAGAATCGAAGAACCGCGGCCGTCCAGCTAAACCATCCCTTCAGTCTAGGTCGCCCAAGTACTTTAGTTCGAACCAAATGATTAGTGCGAGCGCTCCAGCCCTCAGGCGGGGGGAGAAGCAGCTGTCCTGCGTCCGTGTGTGGCTTAAGTAGCTAGTAGCTTCCCTCACTTACTGTGATTAAGCAGGAGGCAGGGGCACGGCAAGTAAGGATCGCATCAAATGTGTGGAGCCTAAAGGCAGAAAATCGGCATCTGCCTCCGCCCCGTTACAAAAAAGGCAACACACCATTTGGAGAAGTGTCGTAAAAAGCACCAAAGCCTGGATTACACCTGATTAATACATGCTTATTTATATGCATATGCTGATTGTGCTTTATGTGACCACGTGTTACATATTATGTCATGTTATCATCTCTGTGTGGCATCAGCAAGTCCAAGAGGTCAACGCTCAACCTTTCAATCTGCTTGGGACTCTAGAGCTTAGTCCAAAGCTGGAGGAGCACATACTTGTATATACTTGTTATATGATGTTATATGTGCTCACAAATGCCAGTGGTTTCACTGGATAAGGACCCATAAGGCTCCCGCAGCCCCACAGCGTTGACCAACTTGAACCTTGGCACATTGGCTGCAGTAGGCACAATTACGTGTTCAAAGGGCGCGCCCAGATGCCTTGGGCATTCGACCGCTACGAATCATGCGAAATCATTTGAATGCTGTCTGGTCCCCTTGGGCAGCACTGCGGTAGCGCTGCGGTACGACCCGAAGTCTGGATCCCGGACAACTTTAGGCTTGCAAATAGCGGTTCCAATGGCCGGGCTGTGAGCCTGGGCTTGACATCAGGGGTAATGCCCTCTGTTACTAGTAGCGATGCCAGGAGCCCCTAGTAGCTTCTTGTTCCTAGTAGTAAGGCCAGGAGCTACTAGTAGCAATGCCCTTTGCTCCTAGTAGCAATGCCCTTTGCTCCTAGTAGCTTCTTCATATCGTTTCTTTATGTTTCTTTGTATTTCTCTCCATGAGACGCTCACGTAGTGCCCAAAAAATGGCCAAGTCCGGGCTGTTTGCACATAGCAGCCAAGCCAGGGAGCCTCGGGATGTGGCGTTCGCATGCTTTCGCCAAAGCCACTGGTCGACTCGTTTCCCTAAAAATCCAAGAACTAAATCATTAGTGCGAGCGTGAGCTATCCTGCGTTCAGTTACTAGGAGCCAACTTCTCCCTTAATTACTTGATTTGGTAGGTGCCTACTCGATTAAGGAGGCAGGGCCGGCTAAGGCAAAACCTGGGCTCCTTACGCATGGCTTTCCATTGGCTCCCAAGCCCGTAGTGGAGCTGCACATCTGATTCTCCATGGTGAAGTCAGAAGGCTTTGCAGAGGTCCACGCTGATGTGTCAAAGGTCTGCACGGGCGCCTGCGCCTTCAAAACGGCCCAAGCCAGTCTCTTCACATTCTCAAATTTGGCTCCAAAGTGCTAAGAATGTTCAATATAGCTGTTGCATGGATATCCCTACTTTGCTAATCTCATCACAACAACTGGAATGTACTTTCAGCTTTCACTGCCGTTCCAACCACGTCTGAGCTCGCAACTGTTGCTGGATAAGCAGCTGGGTAGTTGGCTGGGTAATGCGCCACTGTGGGAGACACATAAGTTGCTGAGTGCTGCATTGGAACCTGCACGGTATGATAGGTTGTATGATGAACCGCTGGTTCCACATGGGCGACGTGATAGGTATGCTGAACGGCCGGTGCTGGAACCTGCACGGTGTGATAGACATGATGAACCGCCGGTGCTGGAACCTGCACTGTGTGATAGACATGATGAACCGCCGGTGCTGGAACCTGCACGGTGTGAATGGCTGGTGCGGCTGGTGCTGGAGAGTGCACCACATGCACAACATGATGGACGTGATGAACGTAGGAGGCTGGATAGTGCACCGTGGAATAGTGAGAGTATGACGAAGGATAGTGCACAGAATGGTGAGCGTAACTCATTGCGTGCCCGTAGTCATAGGCAGCGTGTCCAGCGTGGCCACGTAGGTTTCCCCCGGCAGTGCATTTGTGCATGTAGCCTGGAAAAGCGGAACAAAACCGATCACGCCGTGATTCTGTGGGAATGCATTACTAGAAAACACAGCGTCGAATTTCGCTTTGCTGCCGAGCTACATGACAACCCACCCTGGCATTGGTGTGCGTCTCCATTGTCAGCCTGCGCATTGCTTCTGAAACGAGACTGTAGGGAGAAACGAGTGAAGGCACCGCCATGGAAACACAAACAACATCAACCAACTACTTCGAACAGCACAAGTAAATTGATGTGGTCACCCGCAGCTCATTGAAGAGTTTCGTCTAAAATTGGATTCTTCCTAGTTTTCATCTATTGGTTTGTCACTACCACAACTTTTGAGAAATTTGTCTATTCAAGACACTGTAGAACTATACAGGATGGTCAAACTTATTTATATATGTGACAAGTCTTCTCTTCTTAAGTTTGTTCATGCCTACTCTTGATCTACCAACATCTACTGGATCAATTCCCTGTATTATTCATGGACAACTTGTCGGTTAAACAAAGACAATAATGTCAGGATGCGCAATCCCCTCTTGTGAAACTTGTTGCTTGCCTATTCTTCACCTACCCATATCTACTGGATCAGTTACCACCACTATTCATTAGCTACCGTTCCATTCAATATGGACAACTAAAAAGCCAAGCGCTAAAGCATGGGGAATCACAACACACGCGAACTACCAATAGGACAAACAAAACAAGAGTGAATGGGAACTACTGTTGAGTCAACAGTAGTTAAGAAGTTAAGAAGAGAAATGCTTCATGAAAGACTGATAGAACCTACTAGGTCTCAATCGGACCTCCCTTTTTTCCTTGATTGATGCTTCTGCTCATCTGATTCCGGTCTTCACGAACATTGTTGGGGACACAAAGAGTTAGGCAAGAAAGACAAAACTACTGCAGCAAGAGAACAGCTTTTTGAGACCAAGCAGGGCTTGTTGAGGAAAGAGGAAGAGTAACTACAAGAGGGACACGCTGATCAAGAAAGAAAGTGCCCACCCTCAAATGCAAACCAGCTAAGAAGGGAGAAACAACTGTCCAGTGTCCAAGTGAAACACAACCCAGCAATGAGCTCTAGGAAACTAGTCAGTTGAACGTACATTAATGACCAGGGTATGGTCCAGTCGGCTTTTGCATCTTGTCTAATCCCACAATATGTTCTTGAGTTATGCTTTCCTTACTGAGAACACAAGCAGCGAGGCAAGCAATAGAAAGTATAGAAAGCTGCTTGACCAAAAGAAACACTCGTCGCTGAGAACGGGAAGAGCTTCTGAAGCTAAGGACGCGCATCAAAGAAACAAACAATACACATGAGAGATGGGGTAAACCAAATCCAGCAAAGGCAAGGGCAGAATAAGGTATATAAGTTATATAAGTAAGTGTAAAAAAAAACAAACTCGCAGTGGGCTTAACTAAACTACTTGAGAAGAGGAGCAACTATTTGAAGATTGTCAAAATCTTATATAATCAGAAGGTTTGGAGCCATAGAAAAGCAGGGGGACCTGAATGGCACATGATACAAATCAGTGTCGCGGGGGAAAAGGTGAAGAACCAATACTTCATGACCGTGTCCTCCTTGTCCCAACTGTAGAACCTATGAATCATGCTCAACACGCTACAATTGCAAAACTTTCACAACCGCAACCCCCATGCATTCCTTCTCTCTGTATATTGGTTTGCTTTAAGCATTTCAATATAAGGATTTTGTCCAGTTACCAGTGGCAGGTAGGGAGTACTAGTACCTACCTGCAACACAATCAAGATCGCTCAGAAATGTTTGAGGGAACATTGGTTCTTGGTTTCAAGTAGGTACTAGAGTTTCTGAGTGATTACCTTGCCAAATCAGACATGTATGGGACTCCCAAACAACGAACCAAGATTCGCTGCAAAATGCCTGTGCAAATTGGTTTCTTGGATCTTGGACATCAAAGGTCAAGTACCGCCAGTTTGCAGTCAAGACGCTGTGCCGCAAAACTCTCCTTAGCGAGCGAGGAGAGCCCCTAATAGCGTCCTTGCTCCTAGTAGCGATGCCCTTTGCTCCTAGTAGCGATGCCAGGAGCCCTTGCTCCTAGTAGCGACGCCCTTTGCTCCTAGTAGCTTCTTGCTCCTAGTAGCGATGCCGGAGCCCCTAATAGCGTCCCCATTGCTCCTAGTAGCGATGCCAGGAGCCCCTAATAGCATCCCCTTGCTCCTAGTAGCATTGCCAGGAGCCCCTAATAGCGTCCCCATTGCTCCTAGTAGCGATGCCAGGAGCCCCTAATAGCATCCCCTTGCTCCTAGTAGCGATGCCAGGAGCCCCTAATGGCTTCTTGTTCCTAGTAGCGATGCCAGGAGCCCGTAGTAGCTTCTTGCTCCTAGTAGCGATGCCCTTTGCTCCTTCCTAGTAGCGATGCCTGGGGCCCCTAGTAGCTTCTTGTTCCTAGTAGCGATGCCAGGAGCCCCTAATAGGGTCCTTGTTACTAGTAGCGAAACAAAACACAGCATCCTGTGTGCTGTAAGAAGTGCCATCCAAGAGTCCAAGCGCAGCGTAGAATTCAGCATTGGCGGAAACTGCAGAAATGGCGATGAGTACCTCCAAAGTAGAGAAACTCCTTGTTTGTTGGCAACGGGTTTGGCACCCGACCAAAGAACTTCAGGGCGGGGAGAAGCTTGAACCGTGACGTTTAGAAATGATTCGATCGCAATGATCGAAAGGATCCCGTACTTCCAGATCACTTAGCCTCAGACCAACCACTTCATCACGATCAATATGAGGCCTCCGTGGAGAGCAGAAGTCGAAGGCCGTAAGTTGCGAACTGACTCAAGACTTGGGTCCAAACAATCAGCGTCGATTTGCTCCCTTCTGTTCCCGTGCTTCAAGCCAAACAATGCCAGTTCAGAGTCACTTGAAACAGGCTCAACAGGAAAGCTCAAGTAACAACGACGCTATTAGGGGCTTCTGGCATCGCTACTAGGAACAAGAAGCTACAGGCTCAACAGGAAAGCAATTGCCTTTCTGTTTGCTCCCGAGTCTCGAATCCAAACTGTACTGCACACGCTCGAAGGTGCTCTGACTATCCGAGCAGCGCTTCAAATGCTGTGACAACTGTAGCTTCTTGCTCCTAGTAAGGCCAGGAGCCCCTAGTAGCATCCTTGCTCCTAGTAGCGATGCCCTTTGTTCATTGTGCTCAAACTTTCACTGCGTCTTTTTCCTTTTTCCACATCGGTCGAGCCATCACGAACAATCAACTCCTGGCAAACAAAAGCCAACAGTGCCAAATACAAACAGCAACTTGCGTTGTCACAAACGCACCTGCAAAAACACAAACCCTACAAGAAACCTGTCCTTGGAGCAACCTCGAACGGTCACAGCTTTCGTCAAAGGCCGAACGTAGCACTACTGGGTCGCCCGAGCTGAAGCTGCTGAAGCCTTACCTTCAAACTTCTCTCGAATCTTGGCCTGGCAAACTGTGAAAACTGCGAAAGCACAAAGAACAGAAGCATCTGAAGCATCCTTCCCTTCAACGGCCTCCACCATTCAATCACTTACTTCGCTTCCCGATGCAAAGGGCATCTTCTTTGGGGTTTACTGTGGTTTGGCTGGAGGTAGTCCATAGTCCCGAAAGTACTGAAACATGAGTGACGAGTGAAACCGAGTGAAACCGAGTGAAACCACAGACCTTGAGGCTTCGGAAGACGAGAAAAGCCATGCCACCATTCACAATGAGGGCACCTCAACAAGTGAACTGCCTCGTGCTGAACTCGACTTTCCAGTTTGTGCACGTTACCATTTACGACACTCTAATACATTCTAATACTTCATACTCTCAGGACCAAAGACTCTTAAAAGACTGCCCAAACTATTTTTGGAGAGAAAAGGCATCGCATTCGGAAGACAAGCACAACTCTATGCTCTCCTAGGCACTCAAGACCTCTACATTGGTGGCCGGCTGTGAGAGCAAGTGGTGTGCCCCTGTAGGCACAGGCACCGCCAGGTCTGAGACCTAGATCTCGAGTTTGTTTGTTTTTTTTAAAAATCATTTTTAGGTTCTTTCTTAAGCTCTTCACTTTTAAAACCTTTAGTCAATTTCTCCAAAGCCCATCTCAGGTACTGGCAAACCCTGCAGGTCCTTCAATGCCATCCTGTTGGTCGCTTGGAGCAAGGACGGAGCCCACTACGCTCTCAAAGAACTCCAAGCATTCATTCCGTCAACTGCAGTTCTCTGACGTGGTTTCATTGAGCCACAGCTGTTTCCATACATAGACTCACGAGGGTACATGAAACAAGTCAAGTTATTACACGACATGTTAAATGCCTGTTTGCTCTTTCTGCCCTGCATGGCTCGAATCCGATGTTGTTCCACTGGAAAGTGAGCGCTCCAAGATACTTTGAGCATCGTAGGCTCTGCAGGCATCGTGTTAGTTTGATGTTAGCACGCTAGCTTTGTCTTCGGAGCATGTGTCTTTCGCAACTGCCACAATGGCAGTGGGTAGCGACGGTAGCGGTATCGGGGCTTTTCGCAACGGATGTTGAGCTTGACGCTTTCACTTTTTTGTTGCGCTTTCCCGCCTTCCTGAAGTGGTTCGGTTGAACATCCTATAGAGGAATGTCAGTGTACACTATGAAGTGTCGTCTTTTTCCCAAACAACGGAGGTTCAAGTGTCGTCATTTCTAGGAAAGGCTGGGTATTGGCGTTTACGCTGGCGCTGGTCGCAAGCTTCGTTCTTGAACGGCCTTCCTTGGGGACTTCATTTGGCAATCAGAGCGTATTGTGCAAACCAGCTTGTGCAAGAACGTTCTACAGGCTAACGTGTGATCTTGGCGTGCAAGGTAGTGCAAAGGGCAGTAGAACCGGTCTGGACATGACACACTAAATGCTTGTACAGTAGCAAACAATCATGCTCTTGTGGGGCCACTTGTTCCAAGCAGAATGTCACATACGAACATTGACTGACTTGCCAAAGGCTGAAAACAGCCGAGTGGTGAACGACTTTCCTCTGTTCAACTGTGAAAAACAATCAATTATGGGCACAACTCCTGCAGTTTTCAAAGACCAAATGCAATAGCCTGAAGGTAGTGAGTGCTGGTCGCTCATCCCAAGGAGCAGGGGATTCCGCCTCGAATTTGTCCTCCTCTTTTACTCATTTTTGCTCCGCATCCACCGATTTCAAATTGTTTACACAAGCCGTGCGCCTATTTTACCGGAGACTGTTTGGCGTGCAGACCCCACCACATGAACATTGAAGAACCCTAAACCCCAAACCCTAACCTGTAAACCTTCTGTATGTTTGCTTGCCTTCATGCATTCTATGATTCTACAATCAATTTTCACTCTGATTCCGGTTTGTAGCTGTGCCTCGCCAGGTTCTCCTTCCTCGCCAACCTCGCCTTCACTGCCAGGTTTGCCAGGAGGGCCCTGCGCGTTCGAAGTCGAGAGCTGTTCTGTTCCAGATTGAAAGAGGACCGACAGGGAGAGAGTTGGACAAACCCTCGGAAGGCTTACAAGAAAAGGGGTGGCCAAAATGACGACTGTCAATCGACGTCTAGTCCCGTGGCCTGTCTCGATCTATTGGTGTGGAGTTTGGGGGTTCCTTCACGAATCGCCCACTTTCCACGTTTCCCTCATTTCTTAAGCAGTACCCGCCCAGAACTGCACCGTCAAACACAGGCGGAACGCATTTCATCGGCCCTACATGTTTGAATATCAGCACATACGGGGATGAAAAGCCTGGAGGGATGTTTCGAAACCCGCGAAGCCGGTTTCGGACCGCCTTTTCTCACACAGACCGTAGCTGGGCTCTCAACGGAAAACCTCTTCTCGATTCTAAAAGACATTTCCGTTCATTTCACACCTGAAAGACACTGTTTCAACTCGGCAGAGTTAACACAACCAAAAAGGCCCCTGACATAATATGCGTTGATACCCGCTTTATTTGGTTTACAATGTTGCGCCAGCGATGACCACGTCGGGAGAAAGATGACAATGTTGTGCAATGATGCCGCTGCACTTTTCCTTCACCATTGCCCCAGTAAACCAAAGGGGCTAGGAGCTCAGGAAGATCCTGACAGCTCCACCGCTTCTGCAAAAGCCTGTGATTGACACCGCGCTGTCTGGAGCTGTGTGGACGCTACTGTGTGTATGTGAGGCTACACCTGTGATGCTGAGTGCGGCCGGGGCATGCCTGAGCAAAGCCTGTCTGAGAGTGACAAGTTTAGAGACCTTGAGCCAGGCGGCGACCTCCTGCGCAGTTTTCATTAATGACGTTTTTACTAGTGCAAGAAACGCTGCAGACCCTCTCTTTTCAATAGCTTGGACCATAGATGGAGCCAGCTGCAGTCCCCTGCTGCCGTACAAGACTCTGAACATCGTCTGTCTGTAGCTTGCGAAAACGTGGAGCGTGCGCTGTGGCATGAACTTGGAAACAGGGTGGGACACACAACACACACAAGATATCACGAGATTAAATATGGAAGGCCACCAAACGAAGAAGCCTGAACCAAGGCCTGAATAAACGGTAAACTGCTGGGTCCACCCATAGCTTTCAAAGCTCCGAAGTCTCCAAGTGTCAGGAAGCGCGTTAGCCGTGTTAGCCCTTTACTGCAGCATGACCTCAACCTGGAAACCTCCAAGACACGACAAAGCAGGTACGCCGATCTAGCGAATCGATTTCACTCATGCAACACTGGCGTCTTCGTTGGTGCCAATCAAGTGTGCATCCCGGACACCCCCTGCTAATCACAAAATGTCAATAGACAACACACACATATATAGCCTTGAGCCTCAAGCGAATGCGGTAAAGGGTGCCGAGTTCGCCAGGGTTCAATCCGCTCTTGACAATATATACTGTTTGAGAAACCTCACCTCCATGCCACTTGGCAATTTGACTTTATATAGGTTGTGACAAACTTGATCGCCCTGTCCTCGCAGGGTCGACGACCATCATACTGTTCACAGTCAGCATTTTCTTTGACGCCTCGGATGGTGATGTGGCACAACTTCCAAGTCAAGTGGGGATACCTTTGTTCATGCTTGGCCGCAAGCAGAAGTAGTCCGAGGGGTCCTTGCCATTCTTCTTGGCTTTGCACATGTAGGGGAACGACCTGACATTCGGCGCCAAGGCAGTGTGACCTGCCGAAGCGAACTTCGACTGAGGAGGACACTGCGAACACATGAAGGTGCCACCCTTTGCAGCACAGCAGTTCCTCAAGTTCTCACAACATCGTCTTTCTTCCTTTTCTTCGTTCAGTTCTGAGTCCAGGGCTCACCATCCTCCTCAGGGTCACACAGCTGGTTGTCATAGCATTTTATTAGCTTGCCTCAGCTGACAGCAATGATATGCTATGAAGACACAAAAAATGGGCTGACCAAATGAGGTTTCTTACGAAACTTCCAAAGTGCCTGGCATTATTGTAATCGAACAGAAACAGTGCTGTGTGCAACACAAACACTTCTGGCACGAAAGCATGGAAAGGCAAATATCTGGAAAAATAAAGAAAACCAAGTAGAAATCCATTCTGAAAGAAAAGGCAAATAGAGACTTCTTAAAAACATGCTCAACAATAGGGACTTCCAGAGTAGAAGTACAGACAAGAAACTCGTAGAAAACAAGTATTGAACATAGAGTTAAAGCAAAACGTCTAGAACATTGTAGCAAAGTTCTAGAGAAAAGGCTCAAGCATAGGGATTTCCAGAGGAGAAACAACCATACCACCACAAATTGATGTGCAAATCATAACAAGGGAAGCGTTCAATATAGGTGTCCAACCTTTCCTTCTTTTAAAAGTTGCGTACCCTCCTCATGCTATCTCAAAACGCTGAGAATGAGTCTGGGAATATCTGGGAATGGTCTTGATCTTAGCTGCAGGACAAAAGCCCAACGGCTGTTCTGAGGATGAAACTGTCAGTGTGGATAGGCGGATTGAAGAACCATGGGCAAATAGCCTGTTCGGAGGTGTCTGCTCAAGACACAAATCGGAATTTCGGAATATCGAACCATCTTGAAACAACCGAAACATGCTGTTTAAGGGACCTTATAAGGGACAGAAGAAACGTCGGAATGGTGCGAATGAACTTATTCCTGACTCTTTGTGGACTCGTTCGTCCGAGTCTCCCGTCTAGCCTCAGCCCAAATGCTGGTCACCAGCCGGATTCCGCCTGGCATCGTCTAGGTTGGAGGCCATCGCCGACTAGTAGTTTGGCCAGTAGGTAACGATTCAATGATAATAGAGCTGTCTAGACTCTAGATACATGTATCATACATCTACATACTCTATACCACCACAAACTCAGTGAGGTCTTGAAGGTACGACTGGCCGGACTTCAATCATCTCTAGGGGTGACCGTCACCCAATCCATATTGCCATGTTTGTCGCAACTCACGATGTTTTTCTTTTTTTTAAATGTCAGCAATCTGCCCAATGAAAAGGCATGTGAAAAGCTGGTCGCTCCAGATGTGCTACCACGTTGCTATCGCCCATTAGCTGAGCTGATAGCTGCAAGCTGCAAGCTGTTGCAAGCTGTCGATCCAAGGTGCCTCCGAAGACCCTCTGAGTGAAATTGGTGCTTAGTTCGTGCGCCATCACCAGGTTTGCCACCTGAGGCGAGCTGAGCACGTGCCTATTTCGGCCAGGTTTACGCAAGCCAAACTTAAATGGTGAAACAAGCAACACTACACAGCGACGTTCCGATCAATGCAAAACGAAGCAAGGGCACTCGATCACTGCCTGGATGAGGCTCTTGCTTCGTCAAAAAGGATTCAAGATATTCAAGGTCTTTCAATAGTGAGTCCTTTAACTATTCTTTTCCAAAACTAACTGTTTGAGGACCTAGTTGGTCTACTCGTCCCAGTTGAAACGCCTTCATGCTGAGACTCGTGCCATCGGAGACTTGATTTGGTTCCAACCCTTCACTCGGGAGACATCTTCGACACGGACGAGATGACGATGAAGTGTTGGACAAAGCTTCGTTGTAGCAAACACCTTTTTACAGCCGCAACACCATTACTACAATGAAATTGATTAGACTCTTGTGTCACCAATATCTCCACAACGGAGTCCTTTCTTCTGTCCAAAGAGGGTTCTCGGTCTGATCGACACGATGACGACCCTTCCCGGCCCTCCCTGCTCCTGCTCTTTGCAGGCCTCACAAGTGAAGACAAGATTCAGTGCTTTCTGCCGTGGGGTTTCAGCCGTCATCCTTTCGGTTTGATCGATTGTCAGAGTACAAAAACATGAACGTTTCAAGGAACTTACATCGGACTCTTCTGGAACTCAGCAGTCGATCGCTCGGAGAACCATCGCAAGTGTGAGCCGGGTCGAGCTACAAGCCGTGTCAGCAGGGGCTTTAAGCCTTGCAGAATTGACTTATTCCAGCCATCCTAAGCAAATGCGAAGATGGTAGAGGTTGAGGTTAATATCTGAGGTCGAATTGACTACGCATAGTATGATAGCATACGTGAAAACACAGCCCCCCCACATGGCCCCGCACCTCCACCTTCATATCGAAGGTAGCAAGCTCTGAGGCCGCCTGAAGGAGTTTGAAAGGCGCAACGCATTTCGCCCTAGGAACAAGAAGCTACTAGGGCTCCTGGCCGTACCAATAAAGCTATTATTTTCTTAATTGTTGATTGAAGAAAACATGCTATTCTAGAGAAAAGAACCTACATTCTCACGTTTGGAGATGCTAAAGCATAGTACAACGGTGGCTGTTCTTCTTTGTCGCCTAATATGAAATCGGCAACCGTTCGTGATCGAAAAACAGCAACGTGTTGCGCTCCTGTTTTGCGCTGAGTCATGGCTTGAGCCACAGGTCATGTGGCGTACGGTTCGGTCGATGCTTGCACACAGCTACGATCGTGTCTCCATGCTGGATTGACCCTCTGTTTCACACCGATCTTCCTTTTTTTTGGAGTAAGATCGAAGCTGTGGCCTCGCATGACCTCGAGGAGAGTTCCAGGCTTCATTGCCTTGGTCAAACAGTCGGCAGGCATGCGATCCGTGCTTGTCCAGGTGAGGTTTGTCGTTCGATCTGCCGGAAGATGATCCGTCAGGAGTGGATCACCCAGCAGCTCTCCAGGCCGGCGCCAGATCACCTGGCGTGTTGAGCTAAGGTCGATGGCCAACCTCTTGTCCTCGACACTCTGAAGTCCAGGATGTGCCACATGCTCTGCTAGGGAGTAGCAGTCGGTGTAGAGGTTCATCTTCACCTGGTCCTGAGCTGCTACCTGCCATTGCCGTAGGTCTCGGCCGTGTTCATTCCACAGTCCGTGGAAGACATACCTCATGTGCTCACATTCTTCTAGGCCGGCGATCATCGAAAGGGTCTCCGCTTGGAGAGTCGACCTGCAAACTCGGCGAATGCAGGTGGAGTGCCAATCAAGTAGCAGCAGGTTGCCCTCATGCGTGTCCTGGTAGGACTCGTGAGCCAGACACATCAAGCGGCCGCTCTGACTCCTCAGTCCCAATCTCTTGCCGCTCCCACTGACATCAGCGTCATTGGCAAATGAAGCGTCTTGGATGCCAATGATCATGCTTTCTTCGAACTTAAAGGGCTTCAGTGGGTAGCTGATGCCAACATCTTTGCTGCCTCTTGCAATCTTGACAATGCCGTTGGCAAAGATGACATCGCTAAAGGTCGCTTGCGACACATTGGACTGCAGGTAGCTCACGGCATACGAAAGGTCAGGGCGACAAACACGGGCCAACCATGCTAAGCTGCCAATGATGCTCCTCAACTGATCTTTCACATGATCTGGCACTCGAGCATCTTTTGCTTTGCGCTGTTCTGCAGACAAGTACACTGGCCGAACTCGGTCGATGAGGCTCGGACAACTGATGTGAACTCCAGTGTCATCTTTCTTGATCTCACGGCCACAGTACTTGAACTCATTCTTGGAGAGCTTACCAAACTTGTACTTCTGGCAGATGGCTTCCATTCTGTCGTTGATCACTTTGCCACCTGTCCAAGGCAAATCGTCCACATGGACGACAACTAAGCCTTCCAGGTAGTCGCCAGTCTTCAGGCTGTAGGCGGCTGCCTCATGTGGAATGGCAGTGAAGCCTTGTTCCAGGAGAGAGCTGTGCAGGTTCTTGAACCAACCTCTTGGCGCATCTTTGGTTCCATACACGGTCGATGAGACCATGTAGTAGCGACCGTCAGGTTCTCCAGGAATTCCTCCACGGGGCATGGAGAGGATGAGTGTCCTGTCAAGCTTGGAACCTTGAAGAAACGCTGCACTGATGTCTCCGCGGTCCACAAATCAACATCTCGGCAGGCTGCCAAGATGAGAGAGAGCGACAGCATAGGCATTGAGCAAGTAGGGCTGTCTGTCCTCGTCTGAGAAGCATCTTCGAGGTCGCCTCTCACAACAAGTCGGGACTTCAGCATTGGATCTTCGGTGACCTCTGCCTTGTCGACGTCCACCCATCGAGTGGGAATCACCCGTAGGCCAGGGATCTCCTTCTTGAGCTCTTGAAGTTTCTCTTCAGTCAACCATTGGCCATCGGTGTATTTTGCCCAATTGTCCCACTCTTTTCGTCTGGTGCCGTCGAGCTTCTCTTGGACCTCCTTGGACTCTTTCTCATAGACCAACTCACGCCCAGCTCCAGCTTTCTTAGTTCTTTGCGCCTTCTTTGCCTTCTTCTTGACACGATGTTCTTGGCGCCCCATCAAGAAAGCCAGTGAGGGAGGTCGCCGTACACATTCATCATAGACATGATTCGCTCTCGGCGGTGTGATCCCATCAAGCCGGTCAGGATCAAGGCGAAGTGCTTGCGTCAAAGGGGTTACAGACGGTGGCACTTCCTGTTCATGAGCTTCCGGCGTCACTCCTGGGCTCACTTCGAATTCAGGTTGCAAGCTGCTCGTATCGCTCGTGCCAGAGTGCTCCACTGGGATATCTTCAGCATTTTGCTCTAGACCCGGTGGTGGAGACAAAGGGCTCGGACTTGATGAAGAGTCCTGTACCACATCCTCTGGTGAGTCATCGTCCATCAAAGCTTCTGGGGTAGCAGCTATTCCAGGAGCAGTGACATCTGTTGCAGGCTCTGCAGCAGGTGCTGCAGGTGCAGTGGGCATGACACCCACGTGTCCGTGATCTTGTAGATCAACGAATGGAGCTTGTTGTTCTGTCCTCTGCCTCGAAGCACGGGCTTCATCTCCATCATCAGCGAAGGGAAGGTAGTCCTCTTCTTCAGGGTTGGTGGAATACAGTTCACGCTTCCTCTTCCGTGCACGGCGTAGCTCCAAACATGCTTCTTCAAAATCTCCTGAGTCGAGGCCGGTCGGCATGAAGTTTCAGCAACAAGCACAGTGACACCTCCATGTACCAACCACAGCGAAGACTTGCCCTCTGTTGTCAACACTCTTGCTGGCCCATACCACTTGCCCTGTTTCGAGAAACAAACCAGATCACCAGTATGGTAGGGTCCTCTGATGGGCACGGCTTTCCTCAAGAGTGCGCGCCTGATGCGCTGAGAGCTGTCAACTTGAGTGTACATCTCTTTCGCTGTTTGCCTCATCAACAATTGCAGCATGAATTGTTCTTGTGGAGTTTTCTCCTCGGCATCAACCAATCCTTGGTGAACGCCCAAGTGGTTCTCCGGGTCCTGGTCGGTCAAGCTTGAAAGGTCTTCAGGAGTATGGCCAAGGACCCATTGTGCCGGTGAAAAACCTTGATTGTTCACGAGGACATTCTTTGCTCTGGCACATTCCGAGCACAATGCGGCAATCACAGAGGATCCAAAAAGTTGTCGATCATGGATGCCTCTTTTCATCATTTCTTTGAGCATGCCGCCATGCCTTTCGGCAGTTCCCAGCTGGTGAGGTGCTCGTGCTCCAACACGACGGATCTCTGTGCCTAGGGATTGAAGCAATGCTGCAACACGTCCTCTGTTGTGAACTCCTTGATCGCAAACAAATGAACGAGGTGCACCTGCCCATGAAAGCCAGCTGGCGTTGATTGCTTCAGCGCAAATCTTTGAGGAAGGTGTGCCTCCAGGTGCGACTCTGACTGCCACGTGGTAGTGCGTGGACATGTCCAAAAGAGAAAGAATGCTGTGTCGTGCACCTTTGCAATCAACCACTTCAAAAACATCAGCTGCCAGCTCGTCATTGAACTTGATCTGATGGCAGGGATTGATGGGCCTCACTGTCCTTGGACGTTCATCGGACTTCATCTCATCACAGCTCTGGCATCGAAAGTGTTGCGCGGCATCAATGACTTCCTTCTTCGCCAGAGACATGCGAAGCATCCTGACCAGAGCTTGGTTGCTGCAGTGACCCATCATCTGGTGCAACCTTCTAACTGCGATCCGCTCCTCTCGGCTGATCTTCAGCCACTTTTCTTTTCTGAGCTTCTCCTTCTGGCGCAGGAGGTCGTCAACCACACGATCTTGCGACTGCTCATGGTCCTCCTCGGTGTCAAGGGCGTTGAGATCAATGCGCCTCCTCTTGTGCACTTGCTCAGCGACATCATCCAAGTCGTGGATGCCGTCCATATAGTCGGCGCCCTCACGTTCTTCCATCTCGAACTCAGCCGGGCAGGCATGTCGAATGACTTGCGACTTCATTTCTTCAAGGGCACTCTCCAGGATGGCCTTGCACAACTGTTGTGGCCATTGCTGAGCTTTCCTGGTCTTGTTTCCTTCAAGTTGTTCGTGATGATGCTGTCCATCACATAGTGCACAGAGTCTTGCTTTCATTCTTGCCGAGGAAAGGAGCATGCCAGTGGCCTTTTGGTGTGGTAGACCACCTTCTCCGACCAAACCATACATACATTGGTCCAGTCGTATGAGCTCCAATGGCTCTCCAGTCATTTGGTTTCGGAGCTGCTTGTCCATCATGTCCGTGAAGCACTTCAGCTGCCAAAGGAGTGAGGGCCAGGGATTTTCCAAGAGAACTTCACGGCCAAGTTCAAGTCGGCGCTCCACAAGCCTTGCAATCCAAGCAATGACTGGATACCATTCTTTTCTATTCATCATGATCTTGTCATGGATCTCCTCGCTCTTGGTGGCATTGAGACGTTGCCAAGACGACCAGGGTGCGCACAGTGGTGAGAGCGTCAAAAGATAGGGATCATCGTCTTCGATCTCCTGCCAAAGGCGATCACGATTGGCCTTCTGCAAAAGGTTGTAGCGCTCATCAATCTCAATGTCCACTGGTGCGCTGATGCTCAAACCCATGGTCACAGCCAAGAGACTCAAAGTGGCTGCTCCAGCAAAGATCTCCTTCATGAAAGAACGACAGCCACGAGGCAACATCTTCTTGTGCCTTTTTGTCTCTCCCTGCAACGTGCTCCACATGGCACAGTCCTCCTTCTCCATGTCATCCAGGCTCTCGCAAAGCATCTTCTTCTGACCTTTGCTCAAGGTCTTGGCAGAACATTCATGTAGCGGAAGATGGCGTTCACTGGCATCGGTCTCATTGGATGCCGTCTCATTGGAATCTCCGCTGCTGGTGACATTGTCTTCGGAGTCGGTCAGGTTCTCTTCATGGGCCTTCGTGCCGATGTCAATCGCAGGGACTTCATTCTCCTCCGATACATAGTCCTCTGCAAGAACCATTGCAATGCCTTCGTTGTTCTCGTCACCTGGATGGAGCCTCAAAGCTGGAAGTCCATTCAAGTTCACAATCTCCAGCTCCTTGTCGAGGGTCTTGCTGTAGGCGGCGTACTCGGACATGTCCAGAACAAAGCCAAGCGACTTCTGGGCATTGGAGCTCAAAAGCAACGGCGTGTCCGAGTTGTCCAGCTCAATGGAAGTGATGTTTCCGGGAACCAGCTCATCGTCCAAGGTCTTCACGCAAACAGGAATGGATCTCTTCCCGGACACTTCCACTTTACCGCCGACTCCTCGAAAGCGGCCTTCTGCGGGCATCAGCTCCGGTTGCATTCCGGTGTAGCGCATGAACTTCTCCATCCATCTTGACCCATGGCACGTGTTGTTGCAGCCAGTGTCGAGGATCACATAGAGCTCTTCCGTCTCCGTCTCATCGCTCACCATGTAGGCAGAACCAGATTCCTGCTCTTTCATGACCTTGCAGTACTTGGCGAACTCAATCAAGCAAGGATCCTTCAGGTTGCCATTCTCAAACTTGGTGAGCGTCGTCTTCACATAGGCCTTCTCGTAGGAGTAGATCTCCTGGAAGGTTTGTCCCTTGAAGGTGCCATTTGCAAAAGTCTTCCGCTGGTACACCTTGAGATCAATGGGATCAGAAGCTGAGGGACTTCCTTGCGATCGATCACCTCCAGGATCATGCACTGCTGTTGAACCACCTCCGAACACCGCTGACTTGCACTTCTCATAGATCTTGTCCAGGGTGTTGACCGAAAGTTCACCTCCAAGATCGTTTTGCAGCTCAACAGACACAGAGAAGAGTTCCGCAATCCTTTGGGTATGGGGCACCGTACCTGAGCTCAAGGGCGTCGAGGTAGTAGTCGATGAAGTTCCTCCGCCAGCTCCAGTCTGGTTGATGAGAGGTCGTTGACCCTTCTTGACATGGCCACAAGTCTTGCACTTCCACTGCCATGTCGTGCCGGTGCTGCCACGCCAATCCTTCTCAACGCGGCACTGGGTCTTGGCCTTCAAAGCTTGTACACGGGCTTTGCGCTCCTCCATGGTCAGATGACCTTGTACTTGAAAATGTCGAGGTGAGCCGCCAAAGCCACGATGGCCAGTCTGGCCTGCACGATCCCTCACAAAGAATGCCTCAGCCTCGGTCTGCAGCACTTCAGCGGCATACTCCGCTGCTTCAGGGTCTTGTTCATCGAGGCCCTCTTCAAGCATGTTCATGAAGACGGAGTGAATCACCTCATCCTCGTCATTCACGTAGGCGTAGGCCTCGTCGACGTGGTAGCCATCAAACTCTTCATAACCTCCAAGGCTCTGCAAGTGACTCTCCCAGTCCTCACAGTCATAGTACTCATCAGCAGGCTGCACGTGGTAGGCTCGGGACCAGCTGCGAAATCGATCCTTGCCATAGCCTTTGGAGTTGAAGCTCTTGCCATAGTTCGAGTGGCGTCCAAATGTACCACCCTTCCCACGTCGGAGTTCATGTTCATGAACTCTGCTGTGCTGCGCAACCAACTCCTCGCAGATCTTCTCCATGGTGACATCCCCATGGACTGCAGCCCTGATCAGCAGTTGGTGGTCGCTGCTGATCCCTGAGTTCTGGAGCGTCTGCTCAGCGAGGATTGCTTCTGGGAGCTTCAGGCTGCTGTCCATGTCGAGCATGAGGTTGTACCATGCTTTCCGGCGAAGAACATATGAAGGAATGCTCTCGCCTTGTTGCCGCGAAAGGACTCCTCCTTGTTGCGCCCCGATCTGATACAGATCTCTTGCCTCCTGTCGTGACCTCGGTTGCAAAGAGCTCTGCAGGGCTTTGAGGAGGACGCTGGTGCCATCTTCGCCGGCTAGGCGGTCCACGGGCAAAGCTCGGGCTACTTGTAGTGCAGGACCACGGAGCCCGTCCACTAGTCTCAGAGCTAGTGGACCAAGTTTCTTGACCTCGCTCTCGTCCATGGCCTTTTCTCGAGCTTGCCTCAACCTCACGCGGAATTGGTATTCCGCCAGGCGACTGACCTCGCCGTCATAGCGTGGTACACCAGACTTCGCTTCGGTGCTCCAAGCATCATCTTGGGCTGCCGCAAAGGTCTGCCATCGCAGACATTCCACGATCGACATGGCGTCGTGGCCAAAGGTGGAAAAAATGTCGAATCCCCCAAAAGGGAACAGGGTCTTCCTGAAGGCCTGGGCCACCCAAAGAAAAACCCCCGGAGTCGTGCTCCGCTGCCAATATGAAATCGGCAACCGTTCGTGAACGAAAAACAGCAACGTGTTGCGCTCCTGTTTTGCGCTGCGAGTCATGGCTTGAGCCACAGGTCATGTGGCGTACGGTTCGGTCGATGCTTGCACACAGCTACGATCGTGTCTCCATGCTGGATTGACCCTCTGTTTCACACTAACATAGAAACATAACGGCCGGTCTGGAACTTCTAGCAACGCTTCTACCTGCAAAACAGCTTTCTTTTCGTTTACTCTTTCATTCCCCAATTCAGCGCCTTTGGGACGGAAGCTACAAGGCCATCCTCCATTCGAAGCTCTGCCACATCCTGCAAAGCAGTGGTTTGCTGACTCGTCGAGCCTTGGGGGGAAGAGCGTTCTTTAAAGTACATGGAACCGATGAGGAATTCAGAGGACACTCAACTTGACTTTATCTTTCCAGATCTGACCAAGTGACACTTGATTCGATCTACATGAAGTATCTTTTTACCCACTTTTAATTCATCTCTCCTGCGGAGAGCTTCCGCCCTTGATGGTCCACCGTTGCCCCGGATCGGACTCGTCACAAAGCTTCAGCGTGATGGGCTTGCAGTTCCTCGACAGTCTACCAAATCAGCGTGAGCCTTTCTGCATCCATGTGTAGCTTATGTAGCTAGTAGCTTACCTCCTTACTCAAGTAAGTAGTCGCTTACCCAATCAAGTAGGAGGCCTAAAACATATCGATTACTCTCTCCCTAACTGTGTCGACCAGCTGCCCAGACTGTGTCCCCCACCCAGCGGACTTCACCATGGTGTAGTCTACCGCAAGGCACCGGTCGGCTGGCGATGCGCTGCGCATCAGGCGGCCGTCAGGGTAGAAGTTCTGCGCCCAGTCCTTTGGAATTCCACAAAAACAAAGGTGTCTAATAGAGATGCTAGCACACAAAACCATGATAGAGATCTCGGGGATTTGGAGACCATTTACATTTCACATCATTTCACTTTTGTTTAGAGATGCTAGCCAGTCCTCCTCATTGCAGGGCTGTAGGCTGGCATCGGAGGTGGGGTTCTGCCTGCAGGGACAGATCATGCCATCATTGCATCCTCCACTGGATTTTCATCCCCTACAAATTGAGCACCTTGCTCTACCCCATTTGTAACTTGTGGCAGTCGTTACGTTGATTGGTGGCCATTCCAGTTGGATTTCCATTTTGGAAGCACTTTAAACTCCGAATCAGTCGGCATGGAACATTACCTCACACTTGAGTTCACAAAGCCAAATCGCACTGATATAAGTGTTTGTCATTGATTCAACAAGTGACAGATTCCTATGCATCTTTTCTCACGAAAGATCTGTTGCTTTTCTTCGCCTGCATGTTACCTCATGGCAGCCCATCCCCACAGAATCACGCGCGGCCAAAGAGATGCACAAACCATCGTTGCCTCGGGTTTCAGACGAGAACAAGATGTGTTCACACCGAGAAAAAGGAAGAAAAAGGCAAAACACGCCAAGAAACATTGATTGCAAATGACTGTCCTCGTGCTCTCAAGACCCAAAGGGAGAAAACATGGGAAAACAAACGTTTGATTGTCTCACCACATCGAAGTAGTGTCGTGCGGTGTGATTGCTCGGCCTGAGTATTCGTAGGTGTTGAGCTTCCAGTCGTTTCTCGAGTCACCTCCGCCCTGAAACAGCACGGTGCACTGGATCGCTACTGCTTTGGGTTGAGATGGGTTGACGATATCCCATTCCATCAATTTTCCATGTGGTTGTAGTGCAGACTTCAAAAACATATCAATTACATTGTTGTTGCTGTCTTCCAGTTGAACTACGGCTAAGCTACTTGGGCTGACTTCGTCAATGTGTGTGTGTGTGTGTGTCTTCCTCTTTCTGCAACTGTTTGACTGATGCGACCATGCCAAGCTATGACAAAGCGTTTTACAACTTCAGGGTGATAGCATCTAGCTCGGGGCGAGCAATCAAAGCCACATCTGACACCCAGTCTTGAGCTTTGGTTTTTGTGTCGCACATCTTGGACAGTGAAGCGTCGCAGCAATTCCGATGCACTTTCCACCTTGTGCTTGCCGTGCTTAACCAAATTAGCAGAATATCTTCTACAACACCTATTCTGGCAGCTTGGCTTGGCTTGTGCGTGGATCATCTCAATCTTTTTTCATCTCTTGGCGGGCACGTGCTACCCGCTCGACACCAGATTGGGTGCATAACATCACACACCTCCCCGACTTCGTTCACGCGACTTAAGGATGTCGAAAAATAGAGGATGCACGAAACGGTTGAATCCGGAAGAGTCTGCCTTGCACAAGAAGTAAAGCTGCAATTCCAACCTCGGCCAACGCATGTCGAAACGGTGGGGAGGCACCTTCCCTGCTTGGAATCTGCCAAATTTGTTGATACATGAAACAAATCAAATTGTCAAAATGGATTTCCTGAAACTTATGCTTCCAAAATGGAAGCTACTAGGAGCAAAGGGCATTGCTACTAGGAGCAAGGACGCTACTAGGAGCTTTGGAAACACATCGATCATGCGAGGGGTTCTCCCCCACACAGGAGTTTGGAGGCTTCTTCATAGAGTGCATCCAAGCCTAGTAGCTGCTTGAGCTGCTAGACTACCCCCTACTGCAATAGCTACCTGCAAGCTTTCTGCGGCCAACTCCCCCCCAAAAAGAACATCGAATGCTCTTCTGACCCTGCAAACGGAGGGTTCCCCGAAGACATTTACGACATCTGAATTATCTATAATTTACAACACATTGTGCCTTCAATGGAATGAAGATAGCTTATGTAACATTGCTTTGATGTTCTCCCCAGGCAGGCTACGTGCTCCAGAGAGTTTCTTCACCAATGAATGCCGTTGATGGTCGGGAAACCTCCCGTCTGCCTCTTCTGAGCTTCCGGCGTGTAAGTAAGACGAGCTTCTGAGGCTTCTTCGGACGTGGGCTCGACCTTCACCCTGGCCGATTCGCATCCAATCACTCACTTCAGGCGTCCCTTCCTTTCCCATTTCTCACCTCAAGCGGATGTTCTCTGGTGAAGGATCCAGCACCGCGTTCAGCACACTGCCAGTCTCAGCGAGCAGGACTTGGACTACACCTGAAACTTACGTGCTACAGTGCCACAGTGCTGTGCTTGCAATATACTTAAAGCACCTTAAACGTCAAACTGGAAGCTTCTACTTCCACCGTCCCTCACTTCATCTCATTCCCTCAAAGTGGGCTCTACAATTGTGCAGTCCTTTGCTTCTGCTCCACCACTGAGCTCTGGTACAACGCCAACCTGGTAAGCTGGTCCAACACGCTGGCCGATGGGCTCTTGGATTTCGAACCTGCGATGGTCCGAGCTCTTTCATCGAAAACGAATTGCGACATGTCAAGACACAGACACTTTCTTTCCCAAAAAATCCGGGAATCAACGTTCGTAGCTTTTTAGGCTAGTGACTTGTTAACTATCGTAGCTTACCTCCGCTTACTCCGGCCTACCCCCACTTTCGGCCTTACACAATATGCGTCGCACTTTTTGAACACAAGCTCAGCTCCTCCCGTTCCACTTTCCTCATCCCCTTGGAATCTGACTGGACACTGCTGAGAAGGCTGCCGTTGTTCCTCAGACCCAAATTGCCCCAACTTGAACCTTGAAAGTCACATTCCTTGTAGAACATCGTAGAATTAAATAAATCTGGCGCCTGTCATCTTGTGTTTGTTTCTTTCTTTTTTCTTTGTTGCTTCCTTCCTTCATTTCTACAGAAAAAAAACAACTTGCGTTAAGGCATTCAAAACAGAGGAGCACTTCATTGTCGTCGTACTGGTAAAGGGGCTGTGGTACATACCTGCAGAAAAAGATTGCACAGCACAGCGTAACGAAACAATGATGCACAGCACAGTGTCCATCGCGAAGTGACGCGGTCCGCGGTCCGTGCCTGACAAAGCCAGAGACCCGTGAGCAGCCACCCCCGGTCAAGTCACGGGTATTGATGTCCTTGGTTTCGACTCTGTGACACAAACAGGTGAACCTGTCGGCTGTCAAGTTGCCATGTCGTTTTCACCCTCGGTCTGTCCATTGTCCCCGGCTGCCTGTCGTGCGGCCGAAGCCCGAAAAGCCAAAAGCCCGAACCGAATGGTCACAGTTTTGCTGATTTTATCACTCACCACTCTATCAGCTCTAGGTGCTATCCCTTTCACTGAAGCGTAAAAGGACCCATTGCTTGCTTACTATTTGGATACGGTTCTAGTGGGACTCCACTCAACGTGACTTTTAGGTGATGATAATACAGAGCCTCTATCAGTAAACTATTTGTTGAGCAACTATGTGGCAACTTCTTTATTAACTACATTTACTTCGCCTCATCTGAACCTGGTTCCATTTCGTAGTGTCCTGCTTCATTGTCCTGAACTTTCGGGCCATCACTACAGTAGTCCTTCAACTTATTCGTCTTCTATAGTCCGTAAAATCCTTATTGACCAGCAACTGGGCGGCATTGTCAATGATGCTCCCAGTGGCGCTTTTAGTGAACACTTTATTGACTGCTCTAATGAAAACTTGAAAAGTACCCCCAAAGCAACGGAAACGGACTATGACTATGCATGATTACGCAGTTTGCCGTACGCTATGCAAAGACTATGTCAATGACTGAACAGCCATGCATGAGGGACATGCAACCCTGCGTGGTGTGGCCGGGAAGCAGTCTTTGGCAAGCATAGCAGACTTTATGTGGGAATAAAAAGCTTGCTGATACCCATGATTCCCCTTGCTTCACACAAAGAGCAAAAAGGCGTTCCAAGCAAAAGACCTCAACTGCCAGCTCCAAAGCAGGTGTAGGGCCAAAGCAAAAGATATCAGCAGCCACAGCAATCGCAGAAGCGTAGAAGGCAACAGCACGTCACTAGAGCAGAGATAACATCATAGCAAAGCAAACGTGACAAAGCAACAATTGCAGCATCAAAAGCACCAGAGTAGAGTTGCCAGGGCCAATCCAAAGCAAAGGACCCCAAAAGCAAAGACATCACCGAAACCTATCTAAGGCACCGCAATGGTGCATGGAGGTTCGACATGGCTAGACAATTGTGGGTCCCCAAACACAAACAGGCTCGACAATGGTGTTCTTCTTTCCTCCCCTCAACACTGTCTCTCCTGCACATCCTTCATTTGCATGTTTTGATTATTGTTCCTGACACTGCCTGACACCTACAAACACCTACTGCCTGCCCTGCGGCTCCAACCTGCACTTCCTGATGCTCAGAAACCCATCCCAAATGCAACTTCCCAAACGCATCATGGCTCCGGTTTCAACGTACAAAACTGCCCTTCTGGAGCAGATGAAGAGGACATATCTTCCCACGAGCAAACCTCCCCAAACTGACAGTCGTGGGGTCGTGGTGCGACATGTTGCTGCCTCCTTGCACGGTGTCTCGGTCGGTAACTCAACCGCACAAACTACCTCCTTCGTAGGCTGTCGGACAATATGAACATATCCACACGCACAATTCTCCCTTACCTGGCACTGTTGAGTATGGAGAAAAATAAGTAGTGGAGTAGTGGAGAGATCCAAACGTGCAGCGGAAGTGGTCTGGCTCAGGGTACAGCCTCTGATGGCTTCATGACCACAACGTTCTTTTTGAGTGCGCGGATGGAGCTGCCGTCGGTCTTGTTCTCTGCATCCACGAAGGAGCCCTTCGTAACCTGCCACACCAGGCGCGCAGTGTGCACGGTTGCATTTGAGGATTCATATATAGACTTTTTCTTTGCAGCTATATAATAGTTCATAGCCTGCTATCTTTTCATCTACCCCTGCGGGACTCTTGACTGCGCCCCGACCCCCGTGCTCAAACGAGGCGCAATCCAGCGCTTCTCTTCCACCAGGGTTGAGAAGGAGAAGACCACGAGTTTGGGGTCCTCAACTCTGAATGACGTGTTGGGTGCAAATCTAAGCATAAAACCATCACGCATCAAACCCGGAACTTGGTGTGGCTTCCCCAGTGACAAAGGGATGGCAAAACCCAAGGGCAACGTGCTTGACACGTCATTGAAGTCTTCTCCTTGGTCTTCCTGACCGCGACATCATCGATGTTGGTACAAGCTGTGCCACCTTGGCATTGGTGAGCACTGCTTGGACCAATCCACTCGCACGAAGATACAAAACTTTGTCTGAACAACCCTCCAACATTCACATGAATTCAGGCGAGCACCGCTGTAGAAAAAAATACGAGAGGTTGTTGCAAGAGCTACAAACCTTGGAGGCACAGCAACATGCGATGAGCATGCATGAAAAGCCCCTTGAAATGGTAAGCAAAACAAAAGACGACCGCTTTGTCAGTTTCATTCAGTTTCAAACACATGTCAAACATCCAAATGCGCTGATCAGAAAGACGGCAAACCCGCTAAGGAAAGCATGCGAAGGTCTCAATGTCTGAGTTTCCAGCTTGAATGGGCCTTTCGTCTGCCATTGACCCTGCTGAGGCTCCTTTCGCCCAGAAACTAAGAGTCTCTGGACAGCTCCAAACAAAGAGGACAGCTCCAAAAAGCCATGGAACCGGAACATGACTAGAACTACCTCATGACCGCATGAGGTCCTTCAGTGAGGCCGATGTCCTCACCGTCTCATCCATGACAGGCGTCTCACCCGGCGGGCTTTGCACCTCCACCTGAACTCACCAAGACTTTGCACAGGAACGACGCTACTAGGGGCTCCTGGCCTTACTACTAGGAGCAAGAAGCTACTAGGAGCAAAGGGCATCGCTACTAGGAGCAAGGACGCTACTAGGGTCCCTAAGCTTGCACACTATACCCCAAAATTGCAGATGTTCCACACTAAAACATGCAGCAGCGTGAGGCAGCGTGTGAGACAGGTGTCCACATCACAGAAGCAATGGCGCTTTCATCAAACAAAAGGCCTTCTGGCCAAGCTGTTTACACAGCTGTTCTTCTTTGACACTATTCAACCATGCCTTCCACATGTGGCATGTCCACTTCAGACCAATTTCATCAAAGACGCCCAGCTCTTTTCTTCTTTTGAGTTCTTTTTGCTGAACCATCCATCAATCCTTAGCTACGAAAGTTGACCACCAAGCGGTCTTGGATGTGGCCACAAAAATCTGAGGACCGTGCACTCTGAAGGTAAGTTCATACGTGTAGCCTATCCTTACAAGTTGGACTTATTCAAACACATTAAGTACACACCCCAAACATCAACTGATTAAAACGATGCCAGCGCGATCACGCAAAGAAACTCGTCTAAGCCACCCGCTCCGTCTTGATGTCTTGGTATACGCCACCTCTGGAACCTGAAAAAGGGCGCCCTTTGCTAGTAGTGAACCTTGTTAATAGTAAGGCCAGGAGCTACTAGAAGTAGAAGTGAGCAAGTTGCAATTGTCACAGGTGTCTGGCTGAATGTTCGTGAGAAACGACCTCGGCACCTTTCAAAAGTGTTGAAGCCCTGCTTCGGTTTCTTGGTTCCATGAGGCACTCCTTTGATTCTTTTTGCTCTGCTTTGTTTCTCCCCCTGGCAAACTCCATGCGGTCGTTTTTTTTTCAAAACATCTAGGAATCAAATGAATAGTGCGAGCGCTTCCTTGAAGAAGCGTGAGCTATCTTGCATCCTACCTGGGAACTTGCTTAAGCAACTACTATCTTACCTCTTCCTATAGCGGCTTACCCCGGGTAGGAAGAATAAAAGAAAATCAAGAACAAGCAAAAGGACAATACAGAAGACAAATTGCATGTACCATTTTGAAGTTCCCAAACACTTTGGTACTTCCCAGTTGGGCGCTCGGAGCGGCCCCGACCTTCCCAGCAGTTCCCCTTGATATGATACGCCGTGGAGTCGCCTCCAACCGCCTGGCAACACTTTGATTTGCTCTCGGAAGCGCTTGCACAGTGATTGACTGTCAAGAACGTGTCACTACTGGCGGGCTAAGAAACTGTTTGCCTCGAGTTGTTGGACTTGAGGCCTTGGACACGCCGTTTGAGACCCCCTCGTTCTTGCAGCTGTAGGTGAGGTTCTTGCCGTTGTACATCATGGGCCTAGACACGTGCGCTTCAAAAACGCAGAAAAACAACTCTGATACGTACAAGTTTTTCCTCTTTTGGTCAATGCCAAAAAAACTCATGGCGTCAACAGACAGATCCTCAGCTGGGAACGGACACTCCTCGGTCCATCCATTCTTGCCATCGTTGAAGGATGGGTTCCTAGGAGATGAGTTCAAACAAAAACACAACTATTTTTCCTAGTAGCGTCCTTGCTCCTAGTAGCGATGCCAGGAGCCCCTACTAGCGTCCTTGCTCCTAGTAGCGATGCCAGGAGCCCCTAGTAGCGTC